AGAGGCCTGGAAATCGTCGCTTCCATGATCCGGTGGACGAATTTCACCACTTTGGATCGCCTTCCGCACCTCCTGGCCCAAGTACCTTAAGTCCGAACGTGTAATGCACCAGCGGCCCGGGGGAACGGACTTGTGCAAGGCGATGGCCTCGATGGTCGTATACGCTCGTGAAGAGTGCACCGTTGAAGGCAAGTCCGGCAATGAGAACATGGCTGGAGGGCTTCGGGTGTGCCCTCAACCCTACGCCACTTGGGTTTACGTCCCGGAATCCATGCAAGTAATTACGGGATAATCATCCTCTAAACCCTACTTGAACCCCAAATGACCTGTCTTTTTAAGGACCTTATATATGGAAATCAGATGAAGGAACCCTAAACGATGGGTTCCTTAGGTCCTTGGGGTCCAGGTAAGCCCTGACTGGGCCTGGCGGCTGGAGGCTGCGCACAAGTGAGTGAAACTCTTGGCGGAGGAATAAGCTGTTTAGGATTTAGGGCTCAGGGTGTAGGTTGGCTCAGGGTTTCGGGTTCAGGGCTTTTGGTTTCGTTTGGCCAAGGGTTTCGGGTTTAGGGTTTAGGGCGTCGTTTGGCTAAGGGTCTAGGGTATTTAGGGCTTAGGTTGGTTAAGGGTTTAGGGTAATTTCCGGGAGCAACTTTCGGACTCGGTACTGTATCTGCTGCGGTGTTCGCTTCAGCTTCACCATTTCGACTTTTGGCCCTTCACTGGGGTTTAGGGTGTAGGGTTTCGTTTGAAGTTTCGGGCTTAGCGTTGATAGAAGACAGCTTTGCTTGATCGCGAGGCATGCAGAATGCCTTTGTGCCAAAGAACGACAGCGTAGGGAGTCCAGTTCAGAGAATGCCACTTACACGAGCTATAACGGCCATTCCTTGTTTGGAAACCCTACTCTCTCTGTCGTATCTAGGAACTTCGAAGCCTTACCCTAAACCCTAAACCCCTACTCTCTCTCTCTCTCGTATCTAGGAACTTCGAAGCCTTACACCAAGCCCGTAACCGCGTATCTGCCAGAACATCAAACTCGGTTCCCGAAGCTCTGAACCCGAGAGAAAGCCAAAACTCACTCACCCTGGCTGGGTACGGTTCAGGGTTTAGGGTTTACGTCCAGTTTTACGCTTGCGCAGTCCAGGAACTATCATTGGGGGCTTCTGATTTTGCGGATCCCTGAAGCATTTTAGGGAGCAGGATCAGTGAGAATGCGATGGCATAAGGGGTAAAGAGCATCGAAGATTTCCCCTGGCCCCCAATGCCGCCAGTGAATGCCTTCACTGAAGCAGTATATACAGGGTTCGCAGAACAAAAAGTACTACTGGGGAACCTAGCTATTCTAATCTATTTTGTATCAGTTCTTGTGCTGACTATTCAAGCTCGTCTGCTCCGGTGCCTAATCAATCTGCCGTGAAATTTGCGCAGGGAAGGTCTGCAAACTTGACAGACGTAGGTGTTGAGCTTCCTGGCTATACATCTTAAATGGGGCCTCCCAAAAGCACGGTTTAGGGTTTAGGGCTTGAGAGCTTTAGGGTTTAACGTGTAGGATTCAGGGTTGAAACGCTTCACCTGTATCCTCAAACCCTACCAAATAGTAAGGTATGGCCCCATAAATACAAGGCATACCCCCTAAAACAGTAGGCAGGGTTTAAGAGGTTCACCCAAACCCTATCAACCCTGAAACGTTCAGGTGTTCCCAGACTAGAAGCCTAAGGGCCCAAGTGCCCAAACAATAAAGCCTGAGGTCCCAGAGCAACGGTTTAGGGTTTAGGGTTTAGGGTTTAGGGTTTAGGGTTTAGGGCACCAAGAACCATATTAGGGATCCTACTATAATTTGATTAAGGTCTATTCCTTAATTAAGGGATATCGGAGGGTCTGGGAATCCTAAACTATTGTCGTCTGATTGGTTTCAGGCATATCTTCCTGGAGGAAGTATCCATACAGTCAGGCGTGCTGGGTGAATGCAGCTAGTGGGGCTCAAATTGTAGGACGGTTTAGAAAGGAGCCCCACGCCCCAAACGCACCATCGTTTTGGCATCCGGATGCAAACTCATCTTGCAAGCGGAAGCCCAAACCCTCAACGGTGGCTTTCTCATGGGGTAGAGGGTTGAATATAGAATCCTGAGTAATTACAAATGACGATTCCTTAAGAGACCCCACTTATATTGCCAGTATCACGTACCACAACTTCGGAGGCTTTCAATCCGAAAGAGCCTGGATACTTGCGAACCATACACCTAGAGGGTTTAGGGTCTAGGGTTTAGGCTTTAGGGCCGAGTAGGGCTCCATAAAAAGGGATATCAAAGGGCAGCAACAAAACTATAAGGGTACTGGAAGGGTTCTAAGTGTTGCTTTGGGGGTCCATATATACTGCCATTCTGGGATTCTGGGATTAGGTCCCTAGAACCAATCTTGGCCAAATTCCAGATGGCAGCATAGATGGATCCTCTGGGACATGAGGAATGTATCTTTGGGCGTATTTTAATTTACTGCAGATCTATTGCAATGAAGTTATAGTATATTGCAGAAGACCTGCCCTGTAACAAATACGGAGTGGCGTAAATCCTAGACCCTAAACCCACAGCCCTGAACCCTAATCCCTAAACCCCAAACCCCTAAACCCCAAACCCCTAAACCCTGAACCCTACACCCAAAAACCAAAACCCCCAAACCCGAAACCCCTAAACCCCTCAACCAAAAAGCCCAAAACCCTAAACCCCTAACCCCTAAACCCAAAACCCCAAACCCCTAAACCCTAAACCCAAAGCCCTAAACCCTGAACCCAGGGGTTTAGGGGTTTCGGGGTTTAGGGTTTAGGGGTTTCGAGTTTAGGGGTGAGGGTTTACCCTGCACGCGCAACCTTCAACTTACACCTTTGAACTCATTCTGAGTCTTCCGTGTTAGCAGATTCCCCAGTCCCTGTCTCAGACATCGGGCTGCAGCCGGAAGTGATCTCTGGACCTTGGTGGGTTTAGGGTTGAGGGTTTGGAGTTGGTGTAGGGTTTAGGGTTTCGAGTTGGTGTAGGGTTTAGAGCTTGGGGTTTAGAGTTGGTTTAGGGTTTAGGGTTTAGAGTTGGTTTAGGGCTTAGGGTTTAGAGTTGGTTTAGGGTCTAGGGGTTTAGGCGGACCCCTACCTGCACATGCACTGACACGGAATTTCCAACAGCCACCGTTCGGAAAGGCACCCCTTCGGGCAGCATCTTGGTTTAGGGGTCTGTACTTAGCTCTTGGTTGGGCTTCCAGGGTTATCAAAGGCAAAAGACATTTTCAGGATCACGAGATTTGCAAACAAGCATGAAGTAAAACATATTAGAGATCCCAAACGCTACACTTGCTGAGCTTTAAAGAACCCCACTATCTGAAACATGCTAGTAACACTAAAAATAGTAGTAATAGTCCCATTAACAAATAGAACTATTATTCATAATCGGAATCGTAATCATGGTCATGCTCATAACCACAATCAGCATGATAATAGCATATACAGGGTGTAGCATATGACTACGCCTAGCGATTCGCCATGTCCAATGCCCTGGGGCCGAAGTACCATAAACCTAAACCCTAAACCCCTAAACTTCTAAACCGCTAAACCCCAAGCCCTACACCTACACCCTAAACCCTACACCCTACACCCTACACCCTAAACCCTAAGCCGAGGCCAATGCTTGCTCGACTGGGTCTTTGGGTCGCGTGTAGGGTTTCGAGGCCCCCTAAACCCTAAACCCTAAACCATAAAACGGTGAAGACCCCAAACCCTAAGACCGTAAGAACCCTAAAAAACCCAAAATCTCTAAACCCTTTGGGACTCAGGGCTTTAGGGTTTAAGGTTGTGAAGGTTCAGTGTTTAGGGCTGTGATGTAGGGGCCTGAATATTTGGAATAGGGTTTTGGGGGGGCTCCTTCTTATAAATGTAGTAGAATATACCCCAAAACCCTATTCTCACCGCTAGTCTACACCCTACACTCCCTAAACAAGTGCTAATTATTCAGGCCCCTATAGTAGGGTTGAAGGTTTCAGGGCTGCAGAGCCTAGTGGTTGTTGCACGGCCATTAATCTATGGGAAGTTAGGGTCCATTTTTAGGGCATTTTAGAGTCCTTAAAAGGATCTATAAGGATTTCTACAGGGTTCTGTCAGGGTACTATAGGGGCTCAGCTTGGGTAGATCTCTAAATTAGGGTCCCTTGTGTGGGTTCCTATTTATAGGGGTGCCGTACTATGTTGGGGACCTGAAAAGGGACCCTAAGTTAGACAAGCACCCATATGTTAGGTCCCTGAACTGAGGAAATTCGTTTAGGGCTTAGGGCTTAGGGTTTAGAGTCTTTCTAGGGTTTAGACAGAGTTTAGGGCTTCGGGGTTTAGGGTGGCAAAAAAGTCACAACAACTTCGAAAGCCGATCATAGTGGACATGTAGTCTCCAATACTAGATAGTTGGGTGGGTCTTACGGCAATGAACGTGTGTATGCTATCTGCTTGCATAAACCCTGAAAAAGCTCCTATGAACAAAAACCCAAAACCTAAACCTGCAGCCCGAGTCCCATGCGACCCGGGTGCTGGCGACACCACAGCCACAGCGGCCACGACCCAAGAAAAGCTGCAGCATGCAGGGCCCTGCAAGCGGAAGTGTCGCCAGTCGTTGCATGCCCAGACCTGGGATTTGCCGTTTAAGGGTTCCTACAAGGGATTAACAAAAAAGGTTCCTTTAAGGGCTCCTTTAGCAGATCTGTAATAGGGTTCCTTCAAGGGATCCTGAAAGGGTTCGGGCTTAGGGTTTCAATTCATTTTGGCAAGTAGACCTCAGCACTGCAAGGATCTATACGCCGGAGTTTAGGACTTACATCTGGATCGGTTTATGGTTTAGGGCACATCTGGATGGAAACACTTTCCGCCACGATCCAAATAGAGCGGACAATGTAAAACCCTAAACCCTAAACCCTAAATCCTAAACCCTAAACCCTAAACCGTACTTCCTGCGTGCGAGCAGCAAGCAGACCCCACCATGATGCCGTGCACAATCATGATGAACACTGTAATACCGAAAAAAATCCATTCATTCCGGGACGTAGTTATTTGAAAGATCGCCACCAAGGGAAAGGTGAGGCCCACATACATGGCAATCATCTTCGCCATCATCTTCAGAATGAAGCATCTTTCATCTTTGGCACTGCGCCAGAGACTGATGAGCAGGATAAGGCGAGCACAGATGGACAGCAAGCAAGGAAACCAACGATAGCATTGCTGAAGCAGGTATACAGGCACAGCCGTCAGCACCAGTGACATGCCATGTATAAGAAATGGCCCCAGGTCCAGACAGGGAAATGCCATTTCGGTGTAGCCCGCACCTGAGATGTCCACCCCTGCACGGGCGACTGTTCGAAGTGTCGGCGTTGACATCCCGGCACCCAGCAGCACATCGATGGCGTAGTCTACCTTAGCTGTCCAGGAATTTGGAACATTCAGGTTTCCAAGAGGGCCCAGTTGTGTGACTTTACAAGGCCAACAAGGGCAACTGCCAAGCTTCATCGCTGGTCCTCTCACCAACCTCCTGAAAAATCCGCATGGTGTCGGCTGCTTCGGAGCACGTCGCATGTTCAATGCTGCCTCTCCCACGGCTCACAGTCACGGAGTGAGGGTTGTAGTCGCAGGGGCTACCGTTTACCATTTAGGATTCAAGGCTTCGGGCAAGGTTCGAGGACACCTGTAACATAGACACGACAACAATCCTCAAGTTAGCCAAGATAGCAGAGCCCCGTACTGTAGGGGCCTTAGTAATTGGAATAGGGTTTTTGGGCTCTTGTATAGTATACTTGTAATACGGAGCCCTAAGGCATAATATTGGTAATTATTTGGGCTTCTATATTACAGCACCCTGAGGGCACAGGGTGTGATTGCAAACCCCTAGCAATCGGGACAATGCTCCAGAATTAGAAACATATAATCTGCTATAACTAAGCAAGCCGTAGAACTGTCGATCTTTGTGCTGATGCCGACCGACGCAGAAAAGTCAGCTTCTTCTGACACGCTGCAGGTGCTGCTGGAGCTGATGCTGACGGTGGTGACTTTGATGCTTGTCATGTTTGTTGGTGATGATGCTGCGAAGAGCGACTGCTGTGCTGATGCTGACGACAAGTACGGGTACAAGCTTGAGGGCTAGGGAAACGCTTCAACGGTTTAGGGGTTTGGGAGTAATGTAAGGGCCAGAATCATTCGAATAAGGTTTTGGGCTCCCTTATAGTTATAATAAGGAACCCTAATAAGGAACAATATTGGTAATTATTCAGGCTTCTATATTAGTGACAGTGAGCAGTGACAGGTTAGAGTTGACAATGACAACGACGAGGCTGTTGAAGCCGGTTGTGGTGATGATGCTCGGTGATAGACGTGTATATGTAGTTGCGTTGACAGGTTGCTATCAATGCCCGAGGTGCAAGCTTGCACCCCCCCAAACCTTCAAACCCAAAGTGCTATAAGCCTAAAGCCCTAAACCATAGAGGACCCCATGGTGCCTCGATATCCATGACTGAGCTGCTTGGCCTCGTCTATCTGGCTCTGTCCAATGATGCGATCGACCTGAAACATGTGTTTCTGGTTTAGGGTTTGGGGTTAAAAAGGGGTCTTAGTAGTTGGAATTTGGTTTTGGGGCCAATTATACTACAATTATCATAAGGACCCCCCAAAAAACACTATTGGTCCCTAAACGCTAAACCCTTTTAGGCCCCTAGATTATAGGGGTTAGGGTTTAGGAAGATCCCTAAACCCTACACCCTAGACTACTAAAAGCCTAAAGGGAACTCGCCCTTCGGTTCAATCTGGGCCTAAAGGGGCTTGTCTGGGCTCCGTTCAGGGCTTAGTGTCTAGGAGCCTTTGGGGTTTAGGGTTTTTGGGTTTAGGGTTTAGGGTTTAGGGTTTAGGGTTTAGGGTTTTTGGGGGTTTAGGGTTTAGGGGGCGTGACTAGAATGGTGTGGGAAGCCTTAAGACCCTGAACCGGAGGATGCTTTAGGGTTTAATTTAGGATGCTTTCGGGTTTAGGGTCTAGGGTTTAGGGTTTAGGGTTTCGGGTTTTTTTTTGGGATGCTTTGGGTTTTGTTCTAATAGGGTTTGAGACGCTAAACCCTGAACCTCTGAACCCTAAACCCGTAAACTCGAAACCCTAAACCCTAAAGGCATTTTTCGAGAAGCTCGGCACCTCGAGCAAGATGAAGAAGAAGATGCCGGAGACAAGGAGAAGATGCTGCATCACTTCGGGAATCCTTAGTTGGGTTAGGGTTTAGGGTTTAGGGTTTAGGGTTTAGGGCTGCTGAGTTCACAAGCCCCAAAAACTGTACGGTTTAGGGTATAGGGTCACACTTTCAGTGCTACAGCGGATCATAAGCAGATTATCCCAAAAGTGTAAAGTGTACTCACTCAGCTACTAAGAGTCAGAGCCAGATGTCGGGTCAGGCCATGCAAGGGAACGATCACCTTCCAGTGGTACAGAAGGGTGCCGCACATAAATGCGCCTGTCCTTGGTGGCCAAGACTCCAAAACCCCTTAATAAAAGGAATATACCTTAAATTATAATAGGATCCTTATTATGATTTAAGGTATGTTCCTTAATTAAGGGGTTTTGGAGTCTCTGGGTGGCGAAGACTCATCCACGAAACACCCGAAAGCATAGGTTTAGGCGACGGGTGGATAATAGGCTGTGTGAGGATGAAAAGGAAGGTCTGCGAGACTGAAAATGGTTGCAGGCACCGCGATGACGGTGACGATGAGGGTGGCACGAGTCTGCTAGTGTTGTCGGCAACGAAGAGTGTGTAGGCTGTTGAGAACGGTGCCGTGGAAAAAGATGCAAGCACGAGCCTCTCCACTGCATGGTAACAATCATCAACGAATACTTGCCCCACCCTAAACCCCCAAACCCTAAACCGTCTCTAAGGCAAGCATCAAGTTCAGGATCCTTCTGCAGGCCTGATGTTCCATACAGACGCTGCCGAAGGCAGCAGCCGTCATCGCACATAGGTAAAACCTGGACTAGCACTGTTCACGGGAACTAACTGGGACCTTCAAGGAACAAGGCATAATGTAGAGGCCTTAATAATTAGAATAGGGTTATGGGGCATATTCCACTATGAATGTAATATTAGGGAACCCCAAAATCGTATAGGTAATTATTTAGGCCCCTATATTACATTGATTTTGGGTCCTGGGTCAAACCTACTGTATATAAATGCAAAACTGGCAGCAGAATGCGCTACACCCTAAGCCCTTAAACCGAAACCGACGACTTAATGCAGAGCTCGGAAACCCTAAACTCTAATTTGAGCACTAAGCCCTAAACCCTAAAAGCCCTAAAGCCCTAAAGCCCAAAACCCCGAAACCCTAAACCCTAGACCCTAAACCCTAAACCCTAAACCCTAGACCCTAAACCCTTCTCTCTCTCTCTCTCTCTCTCTCAAGCCCTACACCGACGAATTGCGCAGCAGGGAGGCCCGTGAAGGTGCCATGAGAAGATCCCCAGCAAGAAACCCAACAGTCCTGTCTCCCAGAACACAGGGCTTAGGGGTTTAGGGCCTTTAGTGTTTCGGGGGTTTTTGTGTTTAGGGTTTTAGGGCCTTTAGGGTTTAGGGACTTAAGTTTCGGGTTTAGGGTTTAGGGTTTTTTTTGTGTTTTGGTTTAGGCTTTAGGGCCTTTAGGGTTTAGGGGTTAAGGTTTAGGGTTCGAAACCCAACAGTCCTGTCTCGAGAACACACATTCGAAAATGTAAGTAACTGCTGCGCTTTGGGGCTACTTGGCATGTGGAGGGACAGCGTATGCTTGAAAACGATTATAGTTGCTATTGCTGTTATTCCCAGTGTTTGAAGTATTAATGCCATTATTAGTATGATTATCGTGTGCTGTTGTTGATGCTGTTGATGTTGTCGTTGCTTCTGCTGTTGTTGCTGCTGTTGCCGCTGTTGCCGCTGCTGCCGCTGCTGCCGCTGCTGCCGCTGCTGCTGCTGCTAATCTTGTTGTTGTTGCTGTTGTTGTTGTTGTTGGTGGTGGTGGTGGTGGTGGCGGTGGTGGTGGTGGTGCTATGGCAGTTGCCGTTTCTGTTGCTACTACGGTTGCGGCTGCCGTTGCTGTTGCTGTTGCTGTTGCTGCTGCTGTTGGTGTTGTTGCTCTCCTTGCTGTTGTTGGTGGTAGTAGTGGTAGTTGTAGTAGTAGTAGTAGTAGTAGTAGTAGTAGTAGCCGCGCCAGCCGCGCCGCAGCAGCCAAGATGATTGCACCAAGACTAGGTGTTGATGAAATCCTATGCTCCGCGTGGC